GGAAAGAGCTCCGAGGCCCGGCGGTCGTCGCCTCCTTGGGCGACATATAAAAGTACAATTCAATTATTATTTTTAATAGTTAATTAATAAGTTTGTTGCAATAATTATGCACACGAATTGTAAGTAGGAAACAAGTGGGATCTATTCGTTACTAAAGGCATGATCTCTAGATTTAGTACTTGTTACTTACCAAACCACACCACAAGAATTAAATAAATAAATATAAAAAATATTTTGTTACCAAGTTATAATTTTAGATGCTTCTAAAATAAGGTTGTACAATTGTACATATAATTTTAGATCTCTCTTCTCTCTTTCTCTCTCTACATCTTAGAAAGAGGAGTTTTGATCATCAGTTTATCAATCTCTCTCTCTCTCTAAAACTTCTCTTTCTCTCTCTAAAAGTATCTCTCAAATTCGTTTAGATCTATTATCAACCAGAATCAAGAACTGTCTTAGTCATGGCTGCTGAGAAGGTATGTGAAAAAATAAATAAATAAAATGTATAAACTATTTTTTCAAACTTTAATTCAAATGGGCCTTTTTTTTTCAAAAAAAAAAAAAGGAATTAATTTACCAAGAATTATATGTAAAGTGTGCTTCTTGATGAATAATAAACAATCTCAATTTTGCTCTATTTTTGTCCTCTTTTTTTTTTCATTATCTTGATAATTTTATTGGAGAGTTATTATTAGTGCTTTTAAATTAAACGAGTCTGGCTCGGGTCGGCTCGAGCTAGACTCGTTAAAACTCGAGTTCGAGGTCTTAAAGAACCGAGCTCGAGCTCATTTAATGCTCGTTTGGTTAACGAGCCGAGCTCGATTCGACTCGATAAGGCTTGTTAAGGCCCGTAAAGAGAATTTTTATGGAATCTTTTATAGTTCGGCTTGTTAAAACTCGATTCAACTCGTTAATTAAGGCTTGAGCTCGAGACCTTAGAGCCGAGCTCGGGCTTGAGCATGAGCACCTTAAGCTCGAGCTCAGCTCGGATCGTTTAGTGCCCTAGTTATTATGTAATGTGTGATATCATAATTCATATCCTATGAATTAGCAGGTGACTACAATGGTCCTAAAGGTTGATCTCCAATGTCCCATGTGTTACAAAGACACCAAGAAAGCTCTCTGCAAATTTCCCCGTAAGTCTAATTTTCATATATATATATATATATATTTTAAAATATATATATATATATCTATTTTAACTATAATGTAATATTGTTCCATGCAAATAATCCTATCTAACATTATATTATTCATCCAATTGAACCAAGTATAATTGGAATATAATATTTTAGAACTATGGAGAACTGAAATTTCTTAATTGAAATTAAAAAAAAAAAATGTTGACAGAATTCCTTTTCATAAAGGTAAAAAAAAGAAGTACATTATATATTTAAATTATTCTCCTCAAGAAATTTAATTCTTTGTTTCTTGATGACGATAATGGGATAAAGTCCTTTTTTGACTCTTTTTTATCCAATTCATGTTGTAATGGAGATCGAACAACTTTTCTTTTGGTGGAGTTTTATTTATATATGTGTTACTTTAATAATATTCTCATTAATTATTTAATAATGTTGTGAAATGCAATTTTTTTGTGGTGCAAAAATGTTTGGTAAAAAAATAAATAAATTAGAAGTTAGAGACCAAATCTATGACGAGAAGGCCAACACGGTTACGATCAAAGTCTTGTGCTGCAGCCCGGAAAAAATCCGGGACAAATTGTGTTGCAAAGGGGGCAAGGCCATCAAGAGCATCACAATCGTCGAGTCGGGCAAGCCCAAGGAAGCGGCCGACGAGCCCAAAGAAAACGAGAAGCCCAATAAGCCCGTAAAGCCCAAGGTAGTTATAGTCGAGCCGCCCAAGCATGCCGGAAAGCCCAAGAACGGCGATAAGCCCAAGAATGGTGATAAGCCCAAAGATGCTGGAAAGCCCAAGAACGGTGATAAGCCCAAAGATGCCGGAAAGCCCAAAGAGACGGAGAAGCCCAAGCCCAACGGTAAACCCGACAAGCCCAAACAAGTTGATGGAGGGTCTCCGGCCGAAAAGCCGACCGATAAGCCCGGGCCCATCATGACCCCATTTCCGGTAGTGCAGATGCGAGGGTCCGAGCCGGCTCCGGTGCAGGGGGTCCCGTCGGTTTTCCCCTACATTGGGCCGAGCTACGCGGGCCCATACGGATTTACCGGCCCAGCCAAACCGATATACCACGAAGGGTTTTACGATTACGGGCATATGAAGGGCTACGAGTGCGGGTACGGGTATGGGTATGGGTCGGGTCGGGCCACCAATGGGAACCGATGTGAGAGTGAATATTGCGATGAAGACAATCAGCTTTGCGCCATCATGTGATGATCGGCATAGATAGGATAGAAGCACTCCATTTTCATGGGGTTTATGTGATTATGGGGATATTAATTAATTAGTGATGGATTATGTTTATAGTTATTTTTTCTTTTAATTGTGTTTATAATTATATTTAATTTTTGGTTTATTCCTTCTTAACTATAAAAGTTGTTCATTGATAATTAATGATGGCTTTTTGATATATACTTGTGAGATGCTTTTATTGTTCTTCATCTATACTTTGTTTTTGTTGTACAAACTAATTGGTTGGTGGGAATAAATTTTGGAGATGGAATCTCATCGTACAAAATTTGTAGATTTTGCTGCATATAAATATTTATGCTTTCTTAAAGGTTTTAGAGGTGAAAGTTGGTGGTGAACACTCGGTACTATGCATGTGAAAAGAGAAACACTCCAGATCTGAAATCTCCGATATGAACTCGAACAACTAGACATATCTCGCGAGGAGACGAAACTTGAATCTATATATGAACTCCCACGAATTTTCTAGCCGAAAAGAGACTGAAAGCCGAGATATCCATCCCGAGCCTTGCCTGAAAAACCGCGATTGCCAAAGAGGAGAAGGCCATCCGTTCGGAGAAGTGGTGAAAGTCGTAGGGGCAGGGTGAGAAGAGGGGGCACAAGTTGTTTTTCCTTTTCTTGGCTTCTTTTGAAGAGAGGTTTAAGCGTGGTTGTAAAAAAAGGGACTGAGTCGGCCGGTCCGATTGATTAAATCGGAAACCCATCAGTAGACCAGTTCGGTTTGCAGCGAATTGGTCAACGACCGGTTGAACCGGTCAAAACTGGTAAAATGACGGTCGGACCAATTTAAACAGTCCATTTTTCTAAATAAATTTTAATAAATCTAATATATTTAGAATTATTTTAAATATAAACAAAAAATACATATCTAATTACAATATATATATATATACATATATAAGTTAGTTATTAGTTAGTTAAATATTTAATTAGATAAGTTTTTATATATAACTCTTATTATGTAAAATATTATATATGTTTTAAAAATTAATAAATTAAATATCGGTTCAACCACTTGTCGGACCAGTGAACTATTGAACCAGTTGCTTGACAGGTTTAATGGACGGTCCGGTGTTGAGAACCTTGAGTTTAAGAAAGGAATATTATGGAAACTTCTCATCCGAAGTGACTCAACACCAGTGGGGTCGACGATAGGATCCATCACAGACGTTGGTCGAGAGATCAATGTCCCCTGTGATGTTGTTCGCCGTTTGTCCTTTCACGTCATCTTCAGGGATCTTGCCTTTTTATTAAAATTTGACTAGCCATTCGATTGAGCTCCGGGTTCTCAAGTTTCTTGGCTTCCGATTGATTTGCTATTTGTTAGTGTACATGATATGTTATGTATTTTTGTGTATTTACTTCTTTAGCCTTAGTTTCTTGGTAGAGAAGTTATTCCTTGTAAACCAACCCTAATCTTTTGTGTATATATTATGAGTAGCGGCTCTCTCTCGGCTTCAGATTAAATGACCGATTTTCCTATCGTGTTCTTTTCTCCTACTTTGTCATGGTATCAAGAGCAAGGTTAAGATTTTTTTTTTCTCTCGTATTGCTCGCACAATCTGATCCCAAAAAAAAAAATCTCGTAGTGCTCGCATCCAGTTTCACAAATTTTCTATTTTGTAGATTGATTCTACACTTCTTGATTCCACCAATTCTGTTAGCGTGAAAGAAAAAAAAAAATCAAAAATAAAAAATTCACGCAAACAGAGAGAGTAGAGTACCTAGCAACATCAATTTTCATCCTTTGCTACGAGAATTATATTCCTTATGGCCGGTGAAAAAGAGAGCAGCAGTGGCGCCGAAACAGGTGTTGTGCCTCGCAAGACCATATCTCCATATGATATTAGTGCTAGCGATAATCCGGGCATGTCGATCACTCCGGTTCAGTTAAATGGTGCACATAATTATGATGAATGGTCGCGAAGCGTGCGGACTGCTCTCCGCGCTCGTAAGAAATTTGGTTTTTTAAATGGATCAATACCTCGTCCGGATGAAGATTCGGAGTTATTTGAAGATTGGGATGCCAACAATTGCCTTCTTCGTTCTTGGATCATGAATTCGATTGAGCCTCGAGTTCGATCAACCATCACGGAGCCGGATCTCGCCGAAGACCTATGGTTGTCTTTGAAGGAGCGGTTTACTACCACGAACGGCCCCCGCATTCAACAACTTAAGTCCGATTTGGCCAATTGTAAGCAAACGGGGTTATCGATCGAGAGCTACTATGGCAAAATTAGCAAAATATGGGAGGAATTGGCTGAGTTTGAAAAGCCCCCCATGTGTCGTTGTGGCCATTGTAGGTGTAATTTAAACGTTGAATGGGACCGACGTCAACAAGAGGAACGCGTTCATCAATTTTTGAAGGGCCTCGATCACGTCCTTTATGGTGTTCCTCGTTCTCATATTCTAGCCCAGGAACCCTTACCGTCTTTGAACCGTGTTTTTTCAACGATGGTGCAAGAGGAGCGCATGCGGACGATGGCTATTGGTGGTGATATTCAGCCTACTGCGGAAGCCGGTTTTGCTATCCAAACTGCCCCAACTGGTTCGTTTGTTGCTGCAGGGAAGGCATCATCGTCCGGGATTTTTCCCGGTGCAACAGGGGCGACATCCGGGGCTGCTGCAGGAGGCGTTCATGTGGCTATCGGGAGCGACTCGGGTCGGGCTGCTGCCGCGAGTACTGGACAACGTTCATCCAACGGGAGGCCAGTTTGTCTCCACTGTGGCAAGAGTGGTCATATGGCTGCTAACTGTTTCGATATCATTGGTTACCCGGACTGGTATTCTCCCTCCGGTTCTAGTCGTGGAGGTCGCGGAGGGGCTGGTCGTGGGCGTCGTGGCGGAGGCGGTCGGGGTCGCGGTGGTACCACACGTGTCAATGCTGCCGCGACTAGTTTATCTCCTAATTTTGGCTCCGGTTCCCAGCTTTCTGAGTCCGATCGGGCTGCTATCACCGGTCTTTCTAATGAGCAATGGTCCCATATTGTGAGTTTAGTCAATTCGGCTAAACAAGAACCTCCGGTGTCTGGTAAGCGTAGTATATATAATTGGATGTATGATTGTGGTGCTACGCACCATATGACAGGTTACTTGGATTTTTTGACCGATGTCCATGATATTTCCTCTCGTCCGGTTCAATTACCAAATGGGACATTGACTATGGCTTGTCAGGCTGGCACCGTGTTTTTGGGTTCTCATATTGTTCTTCGTGACGTATTATTTGTTTCTAGTCTCCGCTGCAGTCTTATATCTCTTTATCAGTTATTGGATCAGTCAGATTGTACTGCTCATTTTAATAATAAATTTTGTGTTATTCGGGATCGTACTTCGAGGATGGTGATTGGCACGGGTGAGCAGTTGGGGGGCCTCTACTTCTTTTGAGGGGCAATTTCTATTGCAGCGTCTCGAGTGAAGAAGGTTTCCTCTGATTTGTGGCATCAGCGTTTAGGTCATCCTTCGTCTACCGTATTATCTCAGCTTCCGGTAGTTGATTTTAGTTCTAGTCCGTTGAATAAAGCATGCGATGTGTGTTTCCGTGCTAAACAGTCTCGAGATAGTTTTTCTATTAGTCATTCTGCAAGTACTGAAATTTTCCAGTTAATTCATTGCGATGTTTGGGGTCCTTATCGTGTTCCTTCCTTCAGTGGGGCGCGTTATTTTTTAACTATTGTTGATGATTATTCTCGAGGAACATGGATTTATTTACTTACTGATAAGTCTGAGGTTTCATCAAAGTTGTTGAATTTTTTTGCTATGGTGCAACGTCAATTTGGCAAGTATGTACGCACGATTAGAAGCGATAATGGAACTGAATTTATGTGCATGACTCCATATTTCAATCGTCAAGGCATTATTCATGAGACTTCTTGTGTGGGTACTCCTCAGCAAAATGGTCGCGTGGAACGGAAACACCAACATATTCTTAATGTTGCTCGTGCTTTACGGTTTCAGGCCCATATGCCTTTGCCATTTTGGGGTCATTGTGTTTTAGCTGCCGGATATTTGATTAATCGGACTCCGACTACTGTTCTCAAGGGTAAAACTCCTTTTGAGATTTTGTATGGCAGACTTCCTGACTATTCATTTTTGCGTGTCTTTGGTTGTCTTTGTTATGTACATAACCAGGATCGTCAGGGGGATAAGTTTGCTAGTCGCAATCGTAAGTGTATTTTTGTGGGGTATCCCTTTGGGAAGAAGGGTTGGCATGTCTATGATTTGGAACGTGAAGTTTTTCTCGTTTCTCGTGATGTGGAGTTCATTGAGACTGAGTTCCCATTGGGTGATATTCCCGTTGTTTCCCCTACGCCCTCGGTTCCCATTGCTTCTTTTCCAGTCGAAGATGAGGATACTGTTGTTCGGGCTCCAGTGTCTTCTTTGCCGCCGGCAGTTCCTGATGTCGAGCCTTCTGATCTTGTGGTTTCCAGTAGTTCTTTGCCGCCGGCTGTTTCAGTTCCTGATGTCGAGCCTTCTGATCTTATGGTTTCCAGTGGTTCCATCGATAGAGGGGGTTCGTCTCCCGTGGAGGCCTTAGGTCGTGGTCATCGAGCCAGACGACCCTCAACTCGGCTTAAGGATTTTGTCATTGAAACTGTGTGCCCCTCGAAACGCCCCACTGCCGCCTTTGTGTCATCACCATCTTCAGGTACGCCTTACCCTATTACGCATTATATCTCATGTGATTCTTTCTCATCGAGCCATAAGTCATTTTTAGCAGCTCTTGTTTCCGATGTGGAACCTAACACATTTGTTGAGGCTGCTGCTGATCCTCGGTGGAGGGTGGCCATGCAGGATGAAATTCGGGCATTGGAGAATAATGGCACATGGGAAGTTGTTTCTCTTCCCCATGGAAAACGAGCGATAGGTTGTAAGTGGGTGTATAAAATCAAGCACAAGTCTGATGGTTCAGTTGAGCGGTTTAAAGCGCGCCTTGTTATTTTGGGAAATAATCAAGTGTCTGGCAT